TTGGAACTTTTTTAAAATTTATTTACTTGTATTTTTTTTTTTTTTGAGTCTTACAGAAAAGATAATGTTTTATATTCCCAATCCCATTTTTTTTTTTAAAAAAAGGCTACATTTTTCCAAAGTTCACCATGCATTATTATCAAAGAAAAATGAAAAAACGCATACCTTACCATAATTTAGTAAATCTAATAGTTGCAACTTGCAACATCCCACCTAACCTTTTCCTAGGATTTTATGGATATTATTTAAATGCTAAAGTATTTTTTATTTTTTTACTAGTCAATTATACAACCTAAATGGACTCTCTCACATCTTTTTGTTATCCAAGAATCACCACTACTATATTTAATAAATTTATAAAAACTTAAATTTTTAACTTTAATATGCTTATCAAATAAATTTTTATAATTAGTGAGAACCAACTTTCCATCATTTCTTATTTATCTTATTAAATCTTAAATATGTTCCAAAAAGAATTTTGGGTATCGCACGCATGATAATGAACCCTTGAATTCTTCCAAAACTTCTAACTTGTAACCAACTCATTAAAATTTTGAATTAATTTTATTGGATGCCCAGATGCCCAACCTTTTAAGGTTGTTCAATTAGGTCCCCACCTTTGAAAGGCAAAGTTTTAATTGTCAACAGTTTTATACAGCAAGGCAGCAAATTTGCTGCTACAATGAAGAAACTAGTTATTTTGCCTCAATCCCCCACCGTGTTGCACTAACAATAGGTAGAGGAAGATTTTGGCATGGCAGAACGCAAAATCTTATTTCTAACATCATATTAAATGCTCTAGATAATCAATTATCACAGGCTAATATTGCTGCGTATGAATTCTCTCATTTCCAAGAACCTGCTCATTGAGTTTGTTCTCCGTTTCATGATTCAATTCATATAGAAAGTATGATAAATAATTCTTCACAAACTCCCTAATTTTAAGACTTAAACGTACAACTTCGTTCAACCACCATTTTTGTTATTGTCAATGATGGAGGAAAGAAATATACCAAGTAGAAGAGTATTTTTTCACAACAATGCATAAAGCCATCAATATACCATTCCCCCATCCCACAAGACAGACTAACACGAGAAAAACTAGGCACCAGATGCAATACAACACCTATGCACTTGATAAAATGCAAGAAAGTAAATATTAAAAGATTGTCTAAAAGAATGTCGACTAGTAGGTAAGGAATGATGTGAATTACATTGGTAGTGCTTTCTCTAACACCATTTCACCAAAAACAATTTCAACAAGCTACTCCCGCTCCCTTTTAGGTGGAGCCTTTCTCGATGCCTGTGGACAAATAGGGTGGTTTGGACACATCTATAAGACCAGTCAGGGCCAAAAAGAAGTATATGCACAAAACCAAGGATAAAAACCAATTAAAGTTTGCAAATTACCAGAAACTGTAGGAAATTAACAATAAACCTAGGAAATTTTAAAACAAGTACATCAGAACACCCGCTTCACATTATATATATATATATATATCCTTAAAATACTAAGAAACTTGCTCTGTACAAGGGGAAACACACAACGATACATAGGGAAAAGACTAGTAAAATCTAAAGTCTGAAATTATGAAAATGGACAAAAACAACTATAATAGCCTCAACAGACTCCTCAGGGAAGAAACTAACTTGATCAATCCCAAGGGTTTCCTTGGCACAAAAAGAATGCAGCGGCAATGGGTATTTCCTCACTCCTAAACCGAAGTAAAACAAAGAGATCTGAAATCCTTCATGTACAGATTACATGGGAATTACATGTCACAGTGATCAGTTTACATTACAATGAATCCTAGCTCATCCATAACTCTTCTAGCGAAGCTAACATCATCGATAAAACACAATATATACACAGTAAACTGTATCCACAAAAATTAGCCCCAATATCAATACAAAAATCTTATCACAAGCCAGCTATATTGAAACAAAAACAAAAGAGGCCATTACAAGTTGAGGACCTAATACACAAACTCAACTTTACAAGAAAAGAATATATTATACAAAACAAAGGATGTGTTGGTTATCTTCTGAAATGTATCACCAACATCAAGTTTGTGATTAATAAACTGAGTCAGCTCTATTTTCTTTCCAGGGTTAACGGTTCTCAAAGAAAAATGATATGACAAACTTGAAAGGCCAAAGCAAATATCAGAGTAACTCAATGAAGCCAGCCCATCAAACAAATCTTCTTGCAGGCAATCACATAGGTTGATTCAATCATGAGGACAAAGTGTTGCCACTCCAAACCCTGGATGTGATGATATCAAAAACCCTTGTGTTAATAGACTTCCAAAAAAAAAAAAAAAAAAAAAAAAAAAAAAAAAAAAAAAAAAAAACCATAAACAAAAGCCAGAGATAGCATCCCAAAATCTACCCACGTGACCCAGTGTTACTCCACTGTTAGGAAAAGAATTAAAAAGCAGCACGGTAAAGTCCTTAAGGGATTACCTATATCTATCAGACATAATCAATTTGGTTAGATTCAAAGCATGTGGACATAGTCAAAATGAACTAAATACCTATGCAACCTCTAACATGGTGAGATATTGTGTTGAAATAGGCAGTTGCTTTTCAGAGGATGACTTTTAGTAGTTCATTAAGGTATGCCATTATGGTTGACCGGTTCAAAACCTAGAACAGTATAGTGCCACACAACAAAGACAAGAAAACAAAGAGCCAATACAACAGGTGTGGAAACAAAGGATTATTAGTAGGGAAGAGAAACAAAAAGGAACATGGAAAGAATTTTAACAACCATAGAACAAGCTTTAAAACTGAGCTTCAGATAGAATTGATGAAAAGCAGAAAGGCAGACTAAACCAATACTGACAAGCTGAATAAATGGTCTAATCCTATTCCACTGTTTTTATAAGATAAACCATACACCTAAAAATTCTTACTAACTAATAACTATTGCATTATGGTCTCTGCAAAGACTTAATGAACTTAAAAGAGATAAGCATTTACTGCAACAGAGATTTATGAGACACATCACATGAAACTTAGATATAACAATAATAGCAAAAACAAAATTATGGAAACAAGAAAAAGAAAGCAAAATCAATTAGAAAGAATGTTACCGCGGAGCATTTTGCTATAACTTAAATAAATAGCTAAACATAAAGTGAAACTGTCAAACTATACTAGAAATGTCTAAATTATACGCTCAAGCAAATTCTTGCACCCACCAACTTTCTCTATCCTCCACCCCATTCCTTTTTCACATTTTTTTTAATTTAAAAAAAGAAAAAGAAAAAAAAAAAGAAGAAAAAAGGAGAAGAAGAAGAAGAAGAAGAAGTAAAAAGA